TACTCGCCTCATCCCCAAATTTTACATTTTACTATTTTTGAAAATTTTAAGAAACTCAAAAAACAGGCAAGAAGATGGTCTTTTTTCCAAACAGTCGCCATTTTGTAATTTTTTTTTAACTTTATACTAGTATTGCGATGTCATTCTAGATTAATAAACTTTTTTTTTCATTTCGGATTACTAGGAGGGTTGCAATCGTGAACACGGTCATCTGCCAATAATAGTAACTTCAACAACTGCTAGGTTTTAAAATGATTAACTTTCTGTACTCTTGTAACACTAATAAATTATTTAAAAAAATAATAGTAAAAGAATGTATTGCTTTTCTACTCCCATAAACTAAAATATAAAAAATTTAGCATATGAAATTCATTTGGCTTATCTTTCATATCATATTTAAGCAATTTCAGTTCACAAAAGAATCTTTTTCATTCAAGTCATTAGGAGCTTAACGATTTTTTAACTTCCCGTAGGGCAAGTTATAGTAATCGCAAAAAAATCGAAAATATTTTTTTTTATATATCTTCACGTTTCAAAGGTTTCTGAATATTTTGGCATACCTTAGAAAAAATGGATGTATGTGTGTGTGTGTGTGTGTGCGTAGTATGTATGTGTGTGCGGATACAAATTATAGTCGACGATTTCGGGAACACGGATGAAGCAATTTGAATAATTTAAAAAACATTCGATCCGTATTGATAAGGAGACGTGCTGATTAGTTTTTGGCGGAGGTAGGTCTAGCCGTTCCAAAGATATGGGATAAAAAGCGACAAAAACGGTAATTCGGTGTTCAAGAGAAAGGAGTGTCCGATTTGAATAATTCAAAAAACATTTTACTTGTATTAACAAGATGAAGAACTGATCAAATTTTCAGGAAGGCAGGTCTAGCGGGTTCGGAGATCTAGTAAAAAAAAGTATAAAAATGTCATTTGGCGTTCAAAAATGATCATTAGACATATGCACATCAAATTATCAGATATTTTATAGAGATTTTAACAATAAGTATAAATTTTGTTTACTTTCCTATGGGTTCCGTACCAATGTTTATCCGTTAGACGGCGACGCGGCGCTTACGATTACGCACTTCGATATTTCGTCTCTATGCAGTTAAAGCAGTACGATTGCTTTGAAAAAATGCTCTGAATTTCCAAAATATTTTCAAAATAATTTTATTTTCAAATATTCTTTTTTTTTCAAAAAAAGTAAATTTTTGTCAAAAATTTATAGTTTCTCAAAAATCTAATTTTTTCAGAGTAAATTTTTTTTCAAAAATGTTAATCTTTAAAAACAATCGTATGGGAAGTTCCAGCAATTTGCCTTAAGGCACGATACCATGCACCCCACTAGTCTCAAAATATATTTAAGCAAAGTTCAGTTCACAAAAGAATGCTTTTCATTAACGCCAGTGGGAACTTAACGATTTTCTAATTTGGCTATCTATTACCCCAGGTGCAATGTTTTCAAGGCGGCCAGCACATCTTGGATGTACAATTTCAACCTGCTAGCAGGCTATTCGAAGCAGTACTTGCGCCGTTCAAATACTGTTCCTTTGACACTTGCTCGAAGGAGGTATCCCAGGCCCAGTTTACAACAATTGCAACAAGCTCTGGATGACAGTATCAGTTTTTTGGTAGTCAGACATCCTTTGGAGAGGTTACTAAGTGCATATAGAGATAAAATGCAATTTGCTTTACCGCATACTTTGCATCAGAAATTGGGAGCAAGGATCATAGTAAAATACCGCAAACCCAAGGTAAGCACCAAATGTTTCTGAATACGAGTTTGTAACGTTGATATTTTATTTGTTTTTAATAATATTCCGTGTTTTACCAGAAAAATGTAAATCCTGGACCACGTTGGCCAACGTTTTCCGAATTTACAAATTATTTGGTAGATGAAAGAAAAGCGAGAAGACCTTTAGATATGCATTGGACACCAATTACAGAATTCTGTACACCATGTCAACTTAGATTCGATGTGATAGCAAAGGTAGAAACTCTTAAGGTAAGAAATATAAAAAATCAACATGAATAAAATACATTACACGTACAAAAAACAATTTTAGCAAAGTAGAATAAATAATGTTAATTTCATCTTTCAGGACGATCAACAATACCTTATAGAAGAGGCTCACCTTCAAAAACTAATAACGCCTCAATGGAAAAATTCGGGTAAAGGCAAAACCACTACACAATTAGTAGCTGAATATTACAGCCAATTAACTAAAAAACAAATAATGCAATTATATGATATTTATAGGTAAGAACAAGGCTCGCTTAAAACTAGTATTTAAAGTAAACTAAAAATATCTTTCGCTTCCAGGTATGATTTTGAACTATTTAATTATACGTTGACAGGATATATAGAACACGCAATTTCTGAACCTCAAACTGAGTTGCAGATCACTTAAATAGATGAAATTTAGCCAATAACGTGTTCGTCAATTGAATTTTATCAAGGTCAATATCTTGTAAACAAAATAGCATTCTTTTGTAGTCAATTGATAAGTATTGATTAAGTATAATATCGACTTTGATGATACTCCGATTACAAGAGAAATTAATTTTCTGGAGGGTATAATATTCAATCAAAGGATTTCGACAAACTTATTCAAAGACATGATGATTATAATAATCAATAGTTATAAGTTGTTGAAGTAAATATAAATATATTGAAACGTATACGATTAGATTAAATGATAATTTGAAGCGCAGATTAGTAATACATTACTAAAAATAAAATAACACCAAAATATCTAACATCGTGTTTAGAAACACTGTCTTGCAATAGAAATGTTTAAAAAGCCATAAATTGAAGTAATTTTAAACGACGAGCTACTAGTGCTAAAATATATAGCGCACAAAAATAAAATTTACTCACATAAGTAAAACAAATATCATATCAAAATAGTTTAAGTTTAAAGATTAATAATATTGATCAATTTGTTGATTCACGTAGTAATTTCGAAGATCTACGAAGTTAATTTTTGTAAAGTATTGAAGTTTAGTATTTTGTTTGCTGACTTTGGAAATAAACTTTAATTTTTATGATATCTTAACTTATTATATTTTCCGTGGAATCTATCGAATAATTTATTAATACTCAAAAATAAATAACTTCCTGTATATAAAGGATTCTTATATTCGCAAAAGAATCTAAAGAAATTTTTGATCGATTAAGTTCATATTAACAATATTAGATAACTATTATATTTATTTCGAGTATCGGATGTATTTAATGACAAAATTAGATTCGAATACCATTTTGTTACTTTGTGACAAAAAGTACTTCGTAATACTTATCCTTTTGTTTCAATAATAATTTATTTTCAGGAATCTTTTTATAAGAATGTGTTATTATATTATATTAATATATAGACTACAGTATATTGTTAAGTTAATTATTTATTATTAGATTATGTATTACTTACATAAGTAGTGAAATGAATGAAAGTATATAAGCCAATAAAGGTTAGTTACCCGTAATATTCGATAAATAAATTTCTTAGATAGAATTATGATTTTTGTTAAGTTTTATATGATAAAATTACATGTTATTTTGTTAAAAGGTTCAGAACAAATTTCGTATAATACAAACATTCGCCGAACATCAAATTTAAGAAAAATGTTCAACAGATATAAATTAGGTATAGATATTGATTAGATTATTTAAATCGATATTTTACTATTAATGAAATTTCGTATTCTTTGCTATAGCCAATGGACCAGTTTTAATTGAAGTGCTTGAAGTATAATTAGCATACAAATTTAGAAAAAAAAAACGCTATAAATTTAAGATATTATTATTAACAAATTAGATAATACGACAACGTAGAATCATTTCATTCAATAATTAGAATAGTGACAAAAACAAATAACTATAAAGATAAATATCAAAGACTTTAAAAACATATTATGCAGAAAAAGTTTTAATTTCAACATGATAATTGTTTTGTTTTCAATACTTCATGCTTCTCTACATTAACTTAACTATGCTTTCTAATATTAAATTATTATAACAACATGATATACTTGAGGTAATCAGGCAGTACCTTTTCTTGTCTTTATACTCGATAGTTGCATTTCGAACAAATTTCAACATACTTATTTTAATGATATGATAATCAATAAAAAAAGGCATTATACTTTAATTATCATCAGTTAAGCAAAGTTATGTAGATAATGTAAATATTAATTAGTAGTACGTAGCTATTAAAGCGGGTACTAGCGTGATATGGAATTGTTACGAAATAATTATATATTATATTAAAATCCGAAATGTTACGTTATCCAATTACATTAGTTGCATATGGATCTGTTGCACTTGAATTTGTATATAATAAATGATTATATTTAATAAAGTACTCAAATTACAAAATATCTTTTTTTTTCATATACAGTTGAAGTTATTAATATATATCAACAATGAAAATATCGAACTAAATGGTTCAGACATATTATTTACAAATATTGGAATTATATGGTGCCTATATTGATTTCCATTTTTGGCTTTGGATGGATTCAAGATTTGGCTTTATATGGAACAATATTAACAGAATTATATTATGGCACAATTGATAAACTATATAGGTCTCAATTAAAAAAAATATATTACGCCCAGATTGATTTCTACATGAGAAATAATGGCTCAGATATCAAATTTTATTAACATTTTGTTTATAAAACGTTAATACTAACAATTTCAACATTAACAACTTTAACAAAATATTTTATTTTCTGAGGAAAATTAGAAAATTAGAACTGAAATCTAGTTTTCGCTTATTAGTACTTATTGAGAACAAGACGTGATTGACTGATTGTTCGACCAAATAAATGAAAGTTAACTTTCATGGTCTGAAAATTTTCAGACCTGACTTGAAGACTGAAAATACTAAACTTAATAAAGCATTTTTTAACAGCAATGAGATTTTAATTGTCCTATGAGCTCCTGGTACAAATCTCTCCTAAGAACACATCCCTTTTTTCAAAAGACAAACCAATGCTTGACATAACATATTTGAGTATTAGAATTTTTCGAATACTAATGATGTATTTTTGATTTGATAAAGTCATGCCACGAAATGTCTATTTTTACCTGTGATCATATTTTAGATATATCTACATCTTCAGGTGAAACCTGATATGACAACTTAATATCAGTTCGTAGTGCGTACCGAAACTGAAACTCCAAGACAACCACAATACCATACATAAGCCCAACTAAATATAACAAATTTTTATTGTACTGAAGCTGAAAATAAATTCTATGAATAAGTTTCTGCAAGTTTTTTGTTCGACATTAAGGCATCACTTATAAAGTAATAATATATTTTACAAGATGGCCTTGATTCCCAATATAAAATTTGTTTTAATTAGTACCTCATTGAAAATCCAGTCATAACTGTCATAATTATTTCAATTCTACCTCAATTAAACGTTGATCTTTAATCAAGCGCAAGATGCCCGAAGCAGCAGGAGGCGGCAAGTTGCCCAAAGCGACACATTATTTCATTCTGCTTGAATTGATAGAGTCTATAGAAATGCACATACTGATATCCCTGAACATCTTATTCCTGAGAAATAAATTGGGCTTCAGCACAATACAGGTTATATCCTTAACACACTCAGCAGATATGATTAATTTATTTTTAGCGCCAATTGGAGCCCTGATAATAGATAGCGGGGGAAATAAATATGTCATAATGATATTGTATTATATTCGAAGTATGATTATTCAGGGATTTGTAGTTTCATCTTCGATTCCTGAATTGCGATATATTGCGGAATATTTGGTATATGCAAGATATTCTGTTGGACTTATTTTAAATATAATTGTATGCAGCGTTATGGCACCATTCCACGGAGATCAATTCAATTTGCCCGATCAAAAAGATGCTTTTAAAAAATTCTTTAGGATTCTTTATATTATGGATAAAATAGGAATAATCGTAGGATTCATTGTAGGTCCTGCAATTAAGACATACATTGGATGTCTAGGCGAACAAGATTGCTATTTTTTTTCATTTAGTATCAGTTTCATCTTAGCTGTTTTAACGCTATTCATATTCTTAATAGGAACAAAGACTTATAACAATATAAAACCCGAAAGAAACATCGCACTCGACATAATTAAGTGTAGTGGTTACGGCTTCGGTCATTGGGTGAAAGAACGGAAAACTAATCCAAAGGACCATTGGCTAGATCACGCTGAACCAAAATACGGAGCTGAATTAGTCAAAGACATCAAACAATTAGGCAAGATGGTTTTAATTTTCACTGCTGTTCCTTTGTATGAATCCTTATATTGCCAGCTAGATAGTGAATGGTTATTTCAAGCTACAAGATTGGACGGCAGAATTGGATCTTTTACGATTATTCCAGAATATTTTCAATTGATACATCCAATTTTAGGCATAATTATGATACCTTTTCTAACACATTATTTCGATGCCTTTCTAGAGAAGATAAAGATGGACAGAACTTTCAGAAAAATGATTTTCGGCGGCTTAATGACCGTACTTGCTTTCGTCGCTGCTGGATTTTTAGAAACAACAATAAAACAATCAGCTACGCCACATCCTAAAAAGGGCGAAGCTCAAGTACGGATATATAATAATTTCAATTGCACGTGCATTGTCACTGCATCGAGTCCCCTGCCCCAATTTATACAGATTAACTCACATGGTGCCTTCGAAAATTTACATGTACCCATTAAAGGTAACACAAAAGTTCCAATCTCCCTTAGTGGTGAATGCATTACAAATACAGAGCATGAAATTTCTTTGGAACCAAAATCAGCTACATCAGTGTTTATAACAAATGTGGATGGTGCACCAACAGTTAACTCGCATACAGCTGAAATAGATTCTCACGCTGATACTGGGTTGCCAGAACTAACAGTAATTGGTGCAAAAAAAGAAGACTCTCTAATAATAAGAGATTCTAAAGATGTGGAAATATATTTAAATGTTGAACCAACAATGGTTGCAGGACAAGCTATAGTCACGGAATCGAATAGAATCGTAGAAGTTGAACCAGAATCTTATGTTTTAGAATTAAACGGAAGAGACATTTATAATTTTGCTATGCACTCTGGCGGAAAATATGCTATTATTATAAGTGAAGATAGTGTAGATTTTTTTACAGTGACAGAGCCAAATAGTGTTCATATGCTCTGGATGATACCTCAAAGCGTATTATTAGTCTTCGGAGAAGTATATTTTGGTATCACACTACATGAATTTACATACAGTGAAGCGCCAAAATCTTTGAAAACTTTTATAAATGCTCTTCTCCATTTTGCAATGGGAGTTGGGCACTTATTTTTAGTAACAGTTGTCAATTTTCTACATATGGATTTGGATTACGAATTTTATTTTTTTGCAGCTGTGCTTTTGTTAAACATGTGCTATTTTACTATTTTAGCTTTTTTCTACAAATCTCTACAAACTGACGAAAAATTAATATAAAACTAATCCATGAGAAAAATAATATAATTCTATACAAAATGTAACATTTGAACACATAATATACTTTACAAGCTATAATTGCAATATTTTAATTAATATATTGGACAGCAGAATATATATATATATATATATATATATATATATATATATGTGTGTGTATATATATTTAGGAGTAACTAGCAGCCCATTCGTCGAAATAAAAAAATGTAAAAAGTATTTAAAACCTTTCATTTATACGTTTCGAGACTCTCTTCAGAATAGTCGAGTCGTTTGCTTGAAATGGGCGCGTTTCATGCGTCATAATGTTTTACAGTTTATAACTTTTTTCAAAATTGTTTTAATTTATTTTCGTTATTCATCATTTTTATTTTTCCATAAAATTGTTACGATACAATGTTAATTTTCTAAAAAAAATTTGTGTTTTTGTCCTGGTGTTGCTGAATGATGACACGCATCTGGTGTCAAAACATATAAATAAAAGGTTTTAAATACTTTTTACATTTTTTTATTTCAACGAATGGGCTGCTATTTACTCTTAAATATGTTTCAACGTCGAAAAAATTATCAAGATATAGTTATATATATATATATATACATATACATATATATATATATATATATATATATATATATATATATATAAAAATTAAACTGCCACTGACCTTGTAGTATTGCCAAAAACAAATCCTATTACAAGCTTCTGATTGCAGATATATACCCAATTCGTCTTTAAAATTACTAGATAAGTTTTAGTGGAAGAACTTGAATTCTATAATGATTCAATTTTAATTAATTTCATAATATTCAAATTCAAATTGAATCAGATCAAGAGTTCCATAATACTTACATTTGATAAAACTAGATCTTCAAATATTTCTTCCTTTAACTCAATTTGCTTTCTCAAAAGTTTTTGTTTCGATTCGAGCAGATCTTGAGTGAATCTCAAATCATGTTTTAGTTGTTCGAACGTTTCTGTTTGATTATTTAATGATTCCTCACCAATTTCGTCAGTGTATAATTTAAAAATGTCCAATTTATGACTTGAGTCATTATAGTAAAGTTTTAAATTAAACAAAACAGTTTCATTATGATTATCTTCTGGGACAATATTGTATTTTATCACATTCTTATACTTTTTCATCACCTACAGATGATATTTACATTACACACAAAAAGTTTATAATTAATATTTAAAATCAAGTTTAGGCTTTAATGCAGGGGATTTATAAATTATATATCAGATATATATTAAAGTAATACTAAGTTACTTATCAGGATTTGCTTACTTGCAATTCATTGCCTAATAATTTGACTATCGTAACTTTATCATTGTTAGATAAAATGAAATACAAGTGTAATTCTTGATGTATCATTACTGGATGTCTATGAAATATAAATGAACAATATAATAATATAAGTATTAAGATATTTAATTTCTAAATGCACAGTTCAATAAACTCTTATCGAGATTTGTTAAAATTATATATTGGGCATATATATTTACATTAGAATTTGTTCCGCAGGGAAACCAATACAACATCGAGCAAGCGGGAAGCCTTTTTTTAAAACAAGAAAATCACCATTCATCAAGCTTACAACAAAATCAATTTTAGGGTCCTTGTTTTCATCACTTATTATTTTAGGCATAGGTACCATATGAGATACTTTACCGAGAAAAGACTTTGGTAACATATATGTGAAATCATTGTCTCTGAATTTAGAAAATGTATCAAAATCGAGTTCTGGAAAAATATAATACGAATAATTATACAATTCATATATTATATTAATTGAATTATATTTTATATAATATACCACGAGAAGTGAAATTTGATTTAGTTATTGAACCATCTGTGAAAACTGGTTCACAGGATGTAGAGGACTTAGCACTTATAAATGAATTTTCCAAAGCCCCAATATTGGTCTCTAAAATATTTTCATCTGAATCCATACTAGTTTCAAATATATTATCATCAGACATGTCTAGATCCATTTTGTGATATTGTTAGTGCACTAATGAAGAACTATTTTAGTTTTAATGATAATTTATAGATTATAACTAATATTTCACCCCACAAAAATCAATTACTTAAAAGCATAACCTTTTCTTTTAAAACTCAACGTCAGGCCCTTGTATCTCAGTGTAAAACCCGCGTTCACTAATCGTACTTAAAGTAACATAACCTAGGTGAAGATTTGGCGCTAGTGAGCCGATATCAAGTGACAGGTTTGTAATTCTCTAGCATCAAGCCGCCATTTTGATCTGAGTTGTTATTGTGATTTGCCAGTTGCCACTATTCTGTTAACGAGTGTTGTGTGTAATTGTTTATTAAGTTTGAATAATTGCTTAAACAAAAAGTATGACTTTTAATTGCAGAGGAAGTGCAGTGAATATAATAGAAAGTGTGGAATATATGTAATACATAGTGTATATAATGTAAGAGTCATTCGATATGACTTGATTCATTGTAAGGAATATGCTGAAAAGAGCCAAATCTTATTTGGGATGATTATCAGTTACACAAACACTGTAATTCAGTGTTCGCTAAGTTATACTAAATCTTTATAGTACTAGAATAGAATAAACTCGTAGAATAGAAGTTTTTGGTAGTATTAGAAGTCACGGGGTTAATGATACCATCTTACCGGGCATTTATTAGATCATACAAAAGCCTTGTTGTCAATAATTTTCATTCTGTCAAGTTAGAGTGCAATAAAAATTATTATTATAAGTATGTGTGATTTGTATTTAAAGCTGTAGATATGTTTATTGTCATTTTTAATTTTATTGATGAGATACATATTATAATATATTATTGTTTGATATGTTATTATCATTGTATTTTTACAAAATATAATATTGTAATGCAAAAATTCAATTCAAATAAATTATTTTTCAAGTTATACATTTTTTATATTATTATTAATTTTTTTTAAAAACTATAAAAATATTCATTTCAAATTTTGGCGCGCTAATTCGAATGCCGAGCGATACGCGATTAAAGCGCCATTTCGAACTGTTGTACGCTACGAAAACTAACTCTCTGAACCAAAATACCGGGAGAGAGAAACGTCTATATTATTATATTGTCTAGGCTCAACGTGCTTATCTGTCAATTATCTATGACTGAATGACAGCTGAGAGTACCCAACCTGCAAACTATTAGTAACGCATCACACAACTATTACCCAAGTGAAGTTGGTCAGTAAAGGTTGCAACTTGTGGGGTGCATGGCATCGTGCCTTAAGGAAAATTGCTGGAACTTCCCGTACCGTAATTAAAAATCCTGGTACGGAATCCAAAAAAATTTACAAAATGTGTACACATTATTAAAATCTCTATAAAATATCTGATAATTTGATGTACATATGTCCAATAAACATTTTTGATCGCCAAATGACATTTTTGAAATTATTTTTATTGAGGATCCATAACCCACGGACCCGCCTTCTCAAAAATTCAAACGGTTCTTCATCTTGCCAATATATGTAAAATGTTTTTTGAATCATTAAAATCGGACGCTCCGTTCTCTTCAAAACTGAGTTACCGTTTTTGGCAATTTTTGCCTCGTATCTACAGAATGGCTAGACCTGTCTTTGCCAAAAACTAATCAGCACGTCTCCTTATCAATACGAATCGAATGTTTTTTTAATTATTCAAATCGGTTGATCGGCGTTCGTCGACGAAAATTTGTATCCGCATACACACACTCACACACATGAATACACACACACACATACACAAATACAACAATTTTTCTAAGATATGCCAAAATGTTCAAAAACCTTTGAAACGTAAAGATATATAAAAATGTTCATTTTCGATTTTTTTGTGATTACTATAACTTACCCTACGGGGAGTTGATAATGCAATAACATCATCATAGATAAATAAACAAAACATCTGGACAATATAATGGTTAAGGCCCTAGACTACATAATGGTTAAGGCTTTTTATTAATCATTACTTCAAAATTTCACACTTTGCAAAGGGACTTGTCTTACAGTAAGGCTTAATGACGAAGTCATAGATCAAACAGTTATAGTCAAATATTTAGATTTACACCTGGATAAAAGACTAACATGGAAAGAACACATTAAGAAAAAGAGGAAGCAGCTTGAAGAAGCCAGAACAAGCTATTATTGGGTCCTCGGACGAAAATCAAAACTTGACACGCATAATAAAATTCACCTCTATACCATCATTAAACCAATTTGGACATACGAGATACAGCTATGGAGATCAACTTCCAACTCAAACGCTTTAATAATTCAAAGATTTCAAAACAAATTATTAAAAGAAATTTTGAAAGCACCAAAGTATGTTCCAAATTGGTTAATACATAAAGAACCAGGCACTAGCATAGTTAAGAATGAAATAATTGGTTTCTCACACAAATATGAAAATCGCCAGTAAACTTGCCCGCCACAAAACTTCAGAACAACTCTACCAGGTCCGAATTGAAAAGAAAATTTTTTCTGCATTAATCAACAAAAGACCTTCGACAAATCACGGGCAATAGTCCTAGCAAACCATCGAAACAACAAAACTTGATCTAACTACATTCTGAAAGTTAAAAAAAAATCAAGGCATATGTTGAATCATTTTATTACCTGGGTAATATAATATTAGCTAATATAAAAATATATTAAAGAATTGCAAAATGTAACATTTCAATAATTTATAACAAATATATATTAGTTTTTATAACAAATTAATTTATAAATATAGAATACTTACTGATTTAAAAATAATATTTCATAAGCTAATAAATATATTCTACGTGTTATTTACAGTAATAATTATTATTTACTGAGTTTTTATTATTTAATTAGTAATCTGTGTTCTTTAATCGAAAATGCTACTTAATTTTTTTTATATCTATTTAGATATAATTTTGGTTCTTATATTGCACAGATCCTTATATTGCACAATTTTCTTCCGAGGCAATGATATTGAATCACCTATGCAAAATAAATGCAAGAATTTGTTTTGATAACTTACAAATACCTATAAATGTAATTTTGAATAGTCTCATTTTTACAATAATTTTTTGATAAAGATTTATACAAATCGCAAACTTTTTTAAATGAGAAGTAATTTTAAATAAATATTTTTTAAAAATATGATTACAGCATGTTTTGTTATAAAATATACACTTTACAAATACAGGTACTTCGGAAGCGAGCGGATAATTGTTTAAAACATATCTAAAATAATTTTTATTTACATATAGATGCTTTTACATCGAAAAACTGAAAATAATCTAAATCAATATATTACTATAAATTATTTTTTCTAAATTAAACAGATATATATTATACGCATATATTAATTGCAGCAACCAAAGTATTGCTATTTTTTAAAAATATATTTTATAATAATTTAATATGTGCGCCTACATATTTACATTTCGCACAGCATTTTTACCAAGTTTCAAAAATTATTTATATCTTACACCAATTTTAATTAGTTAATTAATTACATTGCCATAACTATAATATATCAGATATATTATTTATTTATATTTTTATTCATGGTACTAAGACTCATTTTCGTTCACAAGAAAACACGAAATTTCTTAATGTTATCTAAGTATATATTAAAAATAAAGTAAGTTCTCTAAGTATTAAATATCCATGTTATCATATAAAATAACTTTAGAATACAACAATCATTCCGCTCATTTGCACAGTAAATATAAAATATGAACTAATATTACAACATATCTTTTCCAATCAAAATCTAATTGATGGCAACAATGTATAAACTATTTCATAAATAACGTATATATTAAATAATATTTAATAAAGTTAAAAAAATCTTCTCTATATAAAATTAGGATGAACATGTTACTCATATACCTATCACTAGATTGCAGAATATATTAAAATATATTAAATCTAGTTTACATTATCAACTTATATTGTAAAGTATTGCACTGCCGGCCTTATATATCACAACTGTGTCTCTTTTTACATACTCCCTGAATTTAGTTTCAAATTTTAAATTTAATATTTCTAAACCGATGTTTTTCACATTTAAACCTTGTTATTTTATTAGTTAAAAAATCAAATAAAGGAGTTTTATATAAAAGAGACATGAAATTGCACGACATATATAAAATCTAAATATAAATTAACTTAAAATAAATATATTTATAAACTTATTTTAATAAGTATTAACTTTATAAATCATGTTAACAAATACAATATTTTTTAAGTAAGATATTACATTTTTTAACATATATTATATAAAAAGCTCTTATTAATTACATTTGGAAATATATTAATATTTAGATATATTGTTATTGATTAATTGACTTAAGGGCAATCACAATGCTTGTAAATACAATAAGCAGAAAAACCTAAATACCTATTGCATATTATTTAATACATTTTTTTTTGAATTGTCGTAAGTATATTAGCCCATTCTTTTGGAAAAGAAAAATTGCTTAAGCTTATTATTAAAGATAAAAAGGCTTTACGATTTTCATACTCAATGAACGAGCGATTCTTTGGATCTTCTACGACTACCACCCGATATAGTCGATTGGTTAGACCGCAAACTTCCTGGATTTTTAACTGTTACTAAACTGCTTTTTCCTCCATCGCTATCGCTATCAGATTGTTGTTGCTTCTTTTTACGGAAGTTTCCAAAAAATACTGAATGGGTTTCGACACTCTCAGCTCCAGATTCGCTCTGGCCATCACAAACTGACTCATCGGTTTCACTAGGGCAAACTCCAATCGTCGTCTTTTTAGCAGAATCATTCGAATCTGTACTAAGATATCCAGAATCTTCAGGTTTATTGGTTCTTGTTTTATTATTTGACATCTCGATTAATTTTTTCCATGTTTTTCCTCTGGAATCTGTAGTTTCCGTTCTGTAAACGAGCTTATCTTGTCCTCCAAGTGAGGGTTTAGTATTTGATTGCAACAGGAAATTTCGAAGGACTGACTTGTGCTTAGAGTCTGACTCTTCAACTCGTC